GCTGGATGGAATATCTGAACTGTACGGGAATTCAGTGTAATTGTCAGATGTCTGTCTGAACACTAAAGAAGGAAAAAATGCAAATATTGCATTTGTTTATAACATGGCCACCACTGAGCAGCAGTGGCCACTTCAAGTCTGCTGTCGGGGTGCAAACCCTGCTCAAGCAATAACGTGGAGATAGTTACGTAGAGGCAGCCGTTTCATATGTGGTTCTCTCCTTGCCCATACAAAAAAAGGGGGGGGGGAAATGGGGGAGGAAATCGCAAACGCTCTCTATTTTATATCAAGTCTTGCAATATTTGATGTTTCCCTTACAGTCCCAGCTCCCAGAGACAAGCGATTATATAAAAACTTTAGTTTTCAGTTACAAAGTTTATAGCTCTCATGGGTCGTGGAGAAAAGTTTGTGAGCCAAGTGAACCCTAAAAACTCTAAAGCAAGAAGGCAAATCAAAAGAACTAATTTTTTTGTTTTTGGGGGGTTGTTTTAAATCTCATGATTTTTGCATACTTGGGTTTGGCAATACTTTCTGTCCAGCTATCCATAGGCTTAGAGATCCCTGTGTGGGCAAGTGGAAGGTGCTGTGCCTTTTTTTTCCCCCTCTTTGGCATTCAGCTGATCTTAATACCGTCCGAGTTTGTATACTCCCACTGCAATGTGGAGCTCCCTTGGGAGCATTGTTGGTGGGTCAGAGAGCCTTTGGCTGTGGCTGAAAGGAGTAGAGGAAAGCAAATAAACTCAGAGCAAATGTGGAGACAAAGGGGCCTGTTGTGCAGATGGCTCTGGCCTACAGTAGAATTTAGAGGATGGGGAAGTCTGAGTTGAACCTTTTCTTTGCTCGTTAGGTGGATGGGACAAACCCTGCCTCGATGACAGAACTATCTATTGGAAACACCATGAGGGAACTTTTTGAATATCCCCCTCACTGATCCCAGTCAGTGGGTTTTTCCACAGAAGGGCACAACCTGCACTTTTAAAAATTAATTTGTTCATATCTGATAACTAATTAGCCACTTTTTAAAAATTTAAACATTTTGATTTTTGCAGCTCTCAAGAATGTTTAATAGTGGAACTATATAAGTCGCCTTATAATTTAATTTATTTGGATCCATATTAGGATCCTACACAAAAAACTATTATTCAGAATTTGGTCAGATAGTAAAAAAAAGGGAGGGGGGGATTAATGCTATTGATATTTTGCATAGTGTAACCCATTAAAATGCTAAATATGTTTATGAGAAGATTATTTATGAATAGTTCCATTTGTATACACCCTATAAAAAAGTACTAGAAGACTGTGCCTCCATTAATGTCTCTATTACTACTTCATATTGTGTCTACACTAAGCAGTTTCTGAACCATGCAGGAAAGGTGCTACAGAATCACATTTGAACCCAACCAGTGCGCACACTGTTCCAACTAGAAGTCTAGCACATCTAATATTTTTAGTGTGGTCACTCAAAGGGTATGTCTACACTCATAAAATGCTTTGTTTTAGAAAATGTGTTAACACGCACATTTTAACTAGCATGATACTAAACACAATTTGGAGCCTAATGTAAACAGGCACTTTTGTGTTTAAAAAATGTGTTAGCGGATTATGGGAGCGGGACATATGATTAACCACAATCAATTAATATATTTTTTAAAAACCCACACAATGGTACTAGTCCATTCTAGAAGATAAGTCATGTTTAACTACGTTAAAATGGTGCTAGCTCATTTTCTAATGTGATACATTCCCACAGTGCAGAAAAGGCCTAAACTGGCTTCTAAAATGGTTTCACTTACCACTGTTCAAATTGTACCAAACTCTTTTCAAAACCAGTTTAGCTTCATAACAACATGGATAGGGCATAAGTATCTCCCATGTCACTGAATTAGACTAATTTTTGCAACACAAAAATCAACACAATGAATTAGCTTTAAAATGGCATTTGAATGATAATGATTATTTATATCTCCATTTAGGTCCTTAGAACAAATATATTGTGGACAGCAGCTGTTTGAGCTTTCTGCTTACTTCCCAGTTAGTATCTTTCAATCTTTTACTGGAGGTATGACCTCTAGTGGAGGAAAAGAGGATCATCTACTTACCATGGCAATTTCACTCCTGTTATTATTTATTATTTGTGTTCTGGTAGCACCTAAGAGCCCCAATCATGGACCAGGACTCCATTGTCCTAGGCACTCTACAAACACAGAACAAAAGGACTGTCTATGCCCCAAAGAGCTAACAATCTAAGTAAGATAGTTCAACCTTTGTTGCCAATGATGGCTTTTGTGATACAGATGTCAGTCCACACTGATCTGGACTGAGATCACCAACTTATTTACTGCATCTGAAATCAAAATAGCCATTTTGAAAGATAGCCAAGCTGATGCCCATGTTTTTCAGTTTAACCAATAATTCCTCATGGGGTACAGTATCAAACGCTTTACTGAAATCCAGGTATATTAGGTCCACCGCATTTCCCTTATCTAATAAATCCGTTACTTTCTCAAAGAAGGAGATCAGATTCGTTTGGCACGATCTGCCCTTCGTAAAACCATGTTGAAATTTATCGCAATTGCCACTAATCTCCAGGTCCTCAACTAGTTTCTCTTTCAAAATTTTCTCTAACACCTTGCACACTACAGATGTTAAACTAACAGGCCTGTAGTTACCCGGATCACTTTTTTTCCCTTTCTTGAAAATAGGAACCACGTTAGCTATTCTCCAGTCTAACGGGACCACCCCCGAGTTTACAGATTCATTAAATATTATCGCTAACGGGCCTATTTCCCGCGCCAATTCCTTCAATATTCTCGGATGAAGATTGTCCGGTCCTCCCGACTTAGCCTCATTAAGGTGTTCAAGTTTTGTTTCTACCTTGGATACGGTAATCCCCCGTCCTGAACACTCCTCTGTAGTGGTGCTAGTATCCCTAATCCCTTCATTGGCCTCATTAAACACCGACGCAAAATATTCATTGAGATATTGCGCCATGCCTAGACTATCTTTAATCTCCTCTCCGGTTATAGTTTTCAGCGGT